CTGCGGGGAACCTTGGGGCACCCATGAGATCCCTTGGAGATTCGTCGGGTTCTTTCGGCAATCCATGACATCCCTTCGGACGTGTATTTGATTTCTTCAGACATCCATCAGATTCCGCTGGGTGCCCATGAGATTCTTTCGGAGGAAGACCCGCGGGGTCCGCGGGGCATCCATCATATTCCTTCGGGCGCGCGGCCGCGGTGATTTGCTTGGCAACGCGCCGTGGGAGATCCATCGGGTTCGTTATGCAATCCGAACGAAACATGGAGAAATCCATCGGCCCCCTTAGGCAAACAATCGGGGTCCTCTAGAAAAACCAGCAAAGATCCGAGTGGCATGCTTTGGCTTCCTGAGGCGACCCATGAGATGCCTAGGGCCATCCATGAAATTCCTTCGGGGGCCCATGCGCGCTTTAGAAATCCATGCCCCCCCCCCCCCTCCTCCTCCCCCCTCGGACATTCGCGGAACCCTTTGGACATCCATCATATTCCGCAAGCAATCCATGAGACTCCTCTGGACATCCACGACGTTCTGCAGGGTGGCACTCCTTAGGAAATCGATCGGAGGAGGAGGGGGGGGGGGGGGGGCGGGGCGGAGCGGGGGGGAAAGGGGGGGGGGCGGGGGGAGGTAGGAGGAAGCCCGGGACCACATTTCAAAGACAACTTCGAATCATAACCTTCGAGTATTTCACGTGTTCAACTCAAATATTTTCCATCGTTTTCAATGGCAGATGAATCGGGCGGAATCGACGGCGGCTCGTTTGAGGCAGTAGAGACCAGGCCGGACGCAGACGTTCGGGGCGGGCGCGCGAGGGGGGGGAAGAGGATTTCTTAGCAAATCCGCAAAGCGCCCCTAAGACATCCATCGGGCCATTAAAAATTACATTGGGATTCTGAGAACATCCGCAGACTGCTTCCGGATACCCATCGGATTCCTCAAACAATCCATCGGATGCCTTTGGCAATCCAAAGGGCTCCTTAGGACATCCATCGGAGTCCTTGAGCAATCCATCGGGCGCCCGACGGGGCCCATGGATGTCCGAAGGGAATCCATGGGGCCCCTTCGGGCATCCATAAGTTTCCCGAGGAAGGATACCGGAGGAAATCCATAAGTTCCCTAAACCATCTGAATCTCATGAGATTTCTCAAGACACCCAGTGCATCCCGACGGAAACTCTTGGGATTCCAAATGGGCCCATTCGGTTCCCTCGCGCAATCCATCGGGTGCCTTGGGACATCCATTGGGCCCCCTGGGCAAAGCATTGGATTCTTTCGGAAAGCCATGGGAGTCCTTAGGGCACCAGTAAGGTTTGTTCCCAACCGTGCTGCGGTGTTGGGCCCTCGTTTTGAAGAGATAACGCCCCGCGTTCCTTCCCCCCCCGCTGCCCCCCCCCCCTCCTCCTCCTCGCATCATCGCCATCGTGATCATCGTCACCCCCAGGAGGATCGTGGCCCCGTAAGAGCTCCACCGAAGGCGCCAATAGCAAAGTGCGCATGGCGGCCTCGGGCCATTTCGGCGCACCCCCCACGAGGATCGTGGCCCCGTGGGAGCTTCACCGATGGCGCCAATGGCAAAGTGCGCATGGCGGCCCCGGGCCATTCCAGCGCACCCCTCACGAGGATCGTGGCCCCATAGGAGCCCCGCCGAAGGCGCCGGTAGCAGCGCGCGCATGGCGACCTCGGGCCATTTCGGCGCACCCCATCACGAGGGTCGTGGCCGCATAGGGGCCCCACCGAAGGCGCCAGTAGCAAAGTGCGCGCGGTGGCCTCGGGCCACTTCGGCACGCCCCTCGCGAGGAACGAGGATCGCGGCCCCATAGGAGCTCCACCGAAGGCGCCAAAAGCAAACTGCACGCGGCGGCCTCGGGCCATTTCGGGGCCCCCCTCGCGCAGTTCGTGGCCCCGTTGGAGCTCCACCGAAGGCGCCAACAGCAAACTGCGCCAATCGCAAAGTCTACATGGCGGCCCAGGGCCATTTCGGCGCGCCCCTCACGAAGATCGTGGCCCCATAGGGAGCTCCACCGAAGGTCTCAGTGGCAGGGTTCCCGTGGCGGCCCCGGGCTATTTCGGCACACCCCTCGCGAGGGTCGTGGCCCCATAGGGGGCTCCAACGAAGGCGCCAGCGGCAGGGCGCGCACGGCGGCCCCGGGCCATGTCGCCGCACCCCTCGCGAGCATCGTGGCCGCGTAGGGAGCTTCGCCGAAGACGCCAGTGGCGGGGTTCGCATGGCGGCCGCGGGCCATTTCGGTACACCCCTCACGAGGGTCGTGGCCCCATAGGGAGCTCCACCGGAAGCCCCCAGCGGCAGGGCGCGCACGGCGGCCTCGGGCCATTCCGGCACACCCCTCACGAGGATCGTGGCCCCATATGGAACTCCACCGATGTCCCCCAGTGGCAGGGTTCCCATGGCGGCCCCGGGCCATTTCGGCACGCCCCTCACGAGGATCGTGACCCTATAGTATTGCTGTTTCAACAACCGCGCCTGGGTGTCGTGCTCCGCCTTCTCGGCGTTCACCGGCGCCTCCTCCCTCATGGCTCTCAGCCCTCTCCTGCTTCTGCTCCTCGGTCAGAGGGGCGCCGTCCTTGTCGTCGTCGGCGCCCGCGAAGACGGCCACGAACGTGTTCCTGAGCATGTCGTGCGCCGGCGGGAAGCCGTGGCCACGTAGGGAGCGCGGGCGAAGATGGTATTCACAATTTCTGCATGCACAACTGCATATGGTTGGGCCTTTCGCCAGGCGAATTAGGCAAGCCATGACTTCTTGAGAAAATTCGTGCGAATCTTGAAAACATCCCTAAGAATCGCGATGTAACCCGTGTGATATCTTAGGCAACCATTTGGATTCCTTGGGAAAAAACGCAACATTCCCAAGGCAATCCTCTATAATCTCTAGGACATCCATCGGACTCTTGTCGAAATCCATCGGGACCCATCGGGAATGGATCGGACGCCTGAGGAAATCAATCGGACTCCCGCTTAAATCCTCAAGGTTTCTTGTGGATTCCATCGGAATCCTTCGGACATTCACAAGGTTTCCTTGGGGACCCCATCGGAGTCCGCAGGGAATCCATGACTCTGGGGTAATCCATATGGTTCCTTTCCGGGGATCCGTTGGAATTTTGGAACCCATATAATTCCTGTAGGAAGCCGTATGATCTTTGCGGGAATCCTTCGGGTTCCAAAAAACTCATCGGATGCCTTGGGTCATCTTTAGGATCCCGCAGCACATGCATGGGATCCCCTGGGAAACCTATGGGTTTCCTCCGGATGAAATCAATACGATTCCGACATACATGAATGAGATTCTTTCGGCGAGTCAATGGGAACCCTTTCGAAAATCGATGGGGTCCAATGGAAACGCAGAGAACTCCAGAAAAGACATCCATAATATGCCTTACGAAATCCATAATCTGCCTTAGGAGTCGCCGGAACCTGTCGGATACGCTGTACGGAGCAAAGGGGAAACATACGGACTGCGCCACTGGGGCTTTCGGTGGAGCGCCCCATGGGGCCACGAAGCGGTGTACTTGGTGGGGGGGACGCATGCGACCTGCGCCGCTGGGTCCTTCGGTGGAGCTCCCCCTGGGGCCACGAAGCGCTACTGGGTGGGGGGACGCATGCAAACTGTGCCACTGGGGCCTTCGGTGGAGTTCCCTCTGGGGCCACGAAGCGCTGTGTTGGGTGGGGGGACGCATGTGAACTGTTCCACTGGGACCTTCGGTGGAGTTCCCTCCCGGGCCACGAAACGTTGTACTGGGTGGGTGGGGGGACGCATGCGAACTGCGCCACTGGGACCTTCGGTGGAGCTCCCCCTCGGGCCACGAAGCGCTGTACTGGGTTGGGGGGGACGCGCGCGAACTGCGCCACTGGATCCTTCGGTTGAGCTCTATCTGGGACCGCGAAGCGCTGTATTGGGGGGGGGGCGCGTGCGAACTGTTCCACTGGGACCTTCGGTGGAGCCCCTACGGGGCCACGAAGCGTTGCACTGGGTGGGAGGGACTTGCGCGAACTGCGCCACTGGGACCTTCGGCGGAGCTCCCTCTGGGGCCACGAAGCGCTGTACTGGGTGGGGGACACATGCGAGCTGTTCCAGTGGGGCCTTCGGTCAAGCTCGTTTGAAGAGACGAAACGGTGTATTGGGCGGGGGGGGCGCGTGCGAACTGCGCCACTGGGGCCTACGGTAGAGCTCCCTCTCGGGCCACGCCACGCTATACTGGGCGGGGGGACGCATGCAAACTGTGTCACTGGGGCCTTCGGCGGAGCTTCCTACGGGGCCACGAAGCGATGTACTTGGTGGGGAAACGCATGCGTGTGGTGCCACTGGGGCCTTCGGTGGAACTTGGTATGGGGCCACGAAGCGCTGTGTTGGGTGGGGGACACGCAGGGAGGAGGGAGAAAGGCGAGGATGAAGGAAGGAGAAGGGACGCGGGGCGCTGTTTCAAAACAAGGACCCAACACCACACGATGGTTGGGACAATAAGCAAATCGTCTGAGATCTGGGTCGCGTGCCCCAAGGCCCTTCCAAGGGGGGGCCCATTCTCCTACGTTGTCCTTCCAGGGGGGAGAGGGAGGAGGAGGAGGAGGAGGAGGAGGAGGAGGAGGAGGAGGAGGAGGAGGAGGAGGAGGAGGAGGAGGAGGGGGAGGATAATTATGATGATGATGAGGAGGAGGAGGAGGAGGAGGCGGAGGAGGAGGAGGAGGACGGCGAGGAGGAGACCACGTGCACGACGCCAACGAGGGACAGAGAGAAAGAGCGAAACCCGTGCATATCAGAGGTGCATTGGCAACATGGTGCAACCAGCCGCCATAATGCATTTCCGGCGGCTCAACAGGTGTGTGACGACGGCAACGAATGCTCTTACCTCAGGGGCCCTGCGGATCTCGAGGCAAGCCTGAGAGCACCCGCAGAGCCAGGGCAGGGAGCGGAGGCGCGGGGCACGGGGGGGAAGTGGAACTTTCGACCAGGGGCCCACACGACCCCCCCCCGCCCCGACGATGGGGGCCTGCTCGTGGCGATCGCACTCCGCCGCCTTCCGGGCGTCCTGCAGCAGCCGGCGCGGCTCGTCGGCCTGCGCCGGGCAGACGGTGTACCGCCGCCGCCGCCCGCCGAGCCGACTCGTCGCCTCGCCCCGTAGCCTCCTCCCGTGTTGCGCCACCGCTGCTATCTGTTCGCGTGTTCGTGGCGAGCGAGGAGGAGGAGGAGGAGGAGGAGGAGGCGGCGGAGGAGGAGGAGGAGGAGGAGGGGGAGGACAGGAAAAGGAGCAAGCATCTCGATTGCTTCTCGAGGCATCCTCGTTCGTGCTGATGCTTCTACTGCTGCTCGCGCTGGCTCTTGCGCTGCACAGTCTCAGGTGATTATGGCCCGCAACGTTTGTTTGTGCTGCTCGCTCACTTCTCCTCTCATGATGTTCTGACGCCATATGTTGTTCAATCCCCGTGTTGTTTCTCGATTTCGGCCTCTGGGTGCCGTTATCGGGCACTGGGGCAATCAAATGGATCCGAGACGAAAAACCATCCTGGGGCCGCGCATTGAAACAATCGCATCGTCGGATGCCTGGGTGCGAGCGCCGGTCTGTGTCGCCCAGTGCTCTTTGCTCGTGCTCGCCCTCTCGCTGCCTCCCCCCCCGTTCCTGTCATCCTTCTCGACCTGCACCTGCCGAGGGCGCCCTCTAGGTGCTTTCTTTGGCAGCGCCCGCAGGGGTGTGGTGCGAGGGGGGCGGCCTTCTGAGACGTGGGATGGCCGTCTAAGAAGGCTGGGGGGGGCTTCTCGGAAGCCCTCCCGGCTTCTGAGACGCCTCCTCAAACGCCTTCTGGTCCTGGCCCATTCTCAGAAGGCACCTGCCTTCCAGGACGAGCCTGGTCTTTCTGAGGAGGAAGGCCGCCCACATCGCGCCACCCCCCCGCATGCGCGCCGCCGCATCCTCCTGCCGCTTCCCGCCACCTCTATCCACGACGACGGCGGCAGCGCGATCCAGGGGGCGTGCCTCAGGGAGAAGACATGGACTCGGAATCGGCGATGCATCGCCGATAGATCGGCAATATTCCATTGAAAACAAGACCGCATGTGCTTGGGTCTTGTGGAAACTGGGGGGTCAACGCCCAGATTGGCGATGATTTGGCGATCGGGTGTCACTGTTCCCCCCACCGGAGCCCCCCTGTTGCTGCCCCTACCTCCTCCTCCTCCTCCTCCTCCTCCTCCTCCTCCTCCTCCTCATACTCCCCAAACGGTTCAGACGAAGCCAATCTGAGGATCATATGGGAACCTCCGAGAACCGGCGCGTTTGGAGGATGCGCCGGGCCCCGCGGCCCTTCCGGAGCGCTCCGGAACGCTCTGAGAGCGTCTATGGAGCGCTCCCGGAAAGGCCGCGAGGATCCTCACACCTGGGGCCTGCGGGTGCCACGGCGACGGCACGCCCAGCGAAACCGAGACCAGCCGAGACCGGCAGGCCGGCGGTGGCTTGGAGACGGCGCGGCGACGTAGTCAGAGGCAGTCCAGGCGTCCGGACCGCACCCGACTCGGCGCAGCTGGCTGCGACGCAGCCGAGCCGACCGAACCGTGGGCACCCCTGTCCTCCCCCTTCTGGGCGGACGACGGGGAGGAGAGGAGGCCCGCGTTTGCGGCGCGTTCAAGGGGGTGGCGCGGCCTTCTGAGAAGGCCAGGCCTTTTGCCGGAAACCGCAGCCTGTTCGCCCGAAGTAGTTCCCTAACCAGCATGTCTGCAAGGGCTCTGTATACTGTTTCTACAAAGCTCGTAGGTGGGATGCGGGACCTGGAATCGGTCTGGCGATGTGGCCTCCCATGGCCTCCCGTGGTCTCCCATTCCCGTCCGTGGACTGCAGCTCTGGTATCCATCAGGCGACGTGGCCTCCCGTGGCCTCGCCTGACATCCCATCGCATCCCATTGCCGCCCCTATCCCTATCCCTATCCCTCTGCCTCCATCCCTATCCTAGATCCCCATCCTAATGCTTATCTCTATCACCTTCCCCATTCCCATCCCTATCCCTGTCCCAATTCCTATATCCCTAACCTTCTCCCTATCCTTACGCCAAACCCCTAACCCGATCCAGAATCCCTATATCCCCAAATACCTATCTCCCTAACCATCTATCACTTTTCCGTAAGACAATACATCTCCTCCCTCACACGACCGGCGACGAACCCGAGACCATGAGGTCCCCTTTATCAAGAGAATGTGCACTTTGCACCAAAGTCGGAGACATGCGCGGACGCTCCGCGATCACCTTGCGTGGGTTTTGAAAGGGACGGCGGGGCCCTGTGTGCAACGCCAACACCCCCCCACCACTCCTTGTAAAACTATGTCCTGGCGAAGGACCCAACCATGTGCAGGCGTGAGTACCACATGGCAGGTGAAACGAAGGAGGGGTGCTCCCTATGGGACCGAGAAACGTGTGAAGGTTGTGCGAAAATGTGGCGGTGCTGTCATGCGAACCCTGACACTGGGGCCTTCGGTGGAGCTACCTGTGGGGTGGGGCCACGCAACGTATGAAGGGTGTGCCGAAATGGAGGCGGGTATCAGATGCGAACCCTGCCACTTGGGCCTTCAGTGGGGCTTCTATGATGGGGCGACGAAACGTACGAGGCGAAGCGAAGCGAACGCCAGAGTCGTGCGCGCTCATTGGGGGAGCCCGCCCGTACCTAAAGGGCATGGCGTGGAGGCCGTGGCCTGAAAAATGAGATACGTAGGTGGACTCACGTGAAGAGGAGAATGCCGAAATGGAGCCGGGTACCGTATGAGAACCCTGCAACTGGGGGCTTTCGGTGAAACTCCATGTGTGGCCACGAAGCGATTGGGAGGTGTACCGAAATGGAGGCGGGTAGCGCATGCGAACTGTGCTTCTAGGACCTCTTAGTTGGAGCTCCCTATGGGGCCACGGAACGTATGAGCGGCTTGCCGAGCTGGACATGCGGTGCGCAGAGGCAGGGTTGGGAGGAGGGAGGAACGGGGAACGTGAGGAGGTGAATGGCGCGGGGCATTGTCAACCATTCACAATACACTTTGCACCAAAATCTGGCTCATGCGCGGACTCCCCACGATCAATTCGCATTGTTTTGTTTTTTGAAATGGGCGAAAGGGAATGCCGGCATACTGCCTGCTGTGTGCAACGCCAACCCCCCGACCATTCCTTTCAAACAAAGAATATACATTAGCCTGGCGAAGAATCCAACAATATGTAGTTGTGGGTACAGCCGTTGTATGCACTGCATTCGGTGGGGCTCCCTATGAGGCCGCTGCCA